AGTATTGTGCTGCAACTCATCCGCACTGTGTGCAAACAACGCAGTCGTCAGCGAACAGCAATATACAGATAGTTGTCTCACAGACTAGGGTTCTCGCAGCAAAACGATGGATGTTCAACGACCCACCACCAACACGGACACCGTAACCACAACAGTATCAAAAGTACAAGACATGATTGCATAAAGAAAAATATAAAACAGTCTTGCTTCACCCCCCCAGAGACAACTGGTCATCTGAGGTCCGTACACACGGCTGTACCCTCGACCGCATACCCCTGTGCAGACATTCAACAAAACTTACAAACGTTCTCTGTTCTCTGTGTCCCATGCATTGTCGGTGTGACATCTCTTGCTGTTGCAGCCCGTGCAAAAGCCCAGTCTATCTCTGAACGATTGTTCAAGAGATAGTCAGATCTGCATTATGTCTGGAGTCTGTGCAGGTAGCGCCTGAACTATCATCGATGAGCGTCCTCAGCGGCTCCAATCTCGGTCCATACACTGCCTTCAAGGAGTCAAAGAATTCTTTGTGTTGTCGGCGTTCGATGTAGCATTCCATTTGTTTTGCCTTCTCCGTCCACCATGTATTCTTGTTGCAACAGAGCTCTCGAGTTAATTGCTGTCGAAGTATGCGAAAATGAATTTCCTTCTCCGCATCGGCAGTATCATCCACATACGCTGATGATCGCGCTATTGTCATCAAACCAATGGGGCCGTTTACGGTTTGAGTACCCGATCGTTACCTCGAAAGCAGCCATCACGTGATTACGGGTGTGGTGCCGAAGATCACTCACTAAGGCGATGGATGTTACATCAGCAAAGCGAGTAGCCATCGTCTACTCCAGTTCCATCCTCTTCTCAATACTACCAAGTGAAAGAAAATCAAATTTGCGCCGGATCACGGTAGGTGAGCAATGTATAGATTTACAAAATATATGTACAGATTGGTCCGCACCAATTTGTGATCAGTACCACACTCAGCTCCACGCAGTACAAGTGTTATGTGCACTTCACGCATATCACGCTGACGTACGATGACATAGTCGAACAGGTGAGCGTGACCACTCCGTGGGTGCGTCCAAGTTGCTATATCACTCGCACTCAGTGCAAACCGAGTGTTGGTGATCGTCAGGCCGTGAGCTGCACACAGTTCCCATTGACTGTGACAACACCACATGGACCGATTAGGTCTGTACATACCGCGGCATAACGCCCAACGCGCGCGTTGAAACCACCTCGTAGGAGCAGCCGGTCGCTTCTCGGCACTTACCGTATCACGGAGGATAACTGAACGTAAAACTGATCCCTTGTGTCATCAAAATAACATATGGTGGGACTGTACGTGTGAATAAAAGTGGCAAACTTATCTCTTCCAAGTCGTCGGCGAACAGTCATCAGTCGCGCGCTGATGCCTGTTGGTTCACCCATGAGCTAGCCATTTAGGCGATCGGATAGTACAAATCCGATCCCATGTTCACATCGTGCTGTAGTGGCGTTTCCCACCTAATAGAACGTATAGCGAGCTCTAGCCTCATGCAACTCACCTTGCTCAGCGAGCCGGGTCTCACTTAGGACAGCAATGTCGATCCTGTCGTGCGTGAGTTTCATCGAGGACAATGCAGCGCGTCGCCCACTCGTGTGTCGGTCGAGTAGTGTGTGCACATAATAGCACATGGACCACTGTTGATAAAAATGAATCTGGATGGCAAAGTCCTGCCTTCGTTTACTTGTTATGAAGTAGAGGCTGTAGTACATGACCAACCATCAAATTTAAAGCGCGCAGACGACATAACCCGTTTGGAGAGAACCCACATGCCACACAAGTGTTTCTGAATAGGCGGACGAACAGCGCTGCATGTGTCTTACACACAGTACAAAAACTGCTACACCACCGGGTACACTGCCCACCAGTTGGTGAAATCACCGAACGGCCCTTCGAAATGACCGATAGGCCTATTCTGAGTGGTTACATCACACCTGATGACCAGATAACAGGAAAGGTCACCGCAAGCACCAGTTCGTGTGACCTTCCAAAGTCTCAGTCATGTACAGAGAAGATGGAACATCGGCGTATCGGCCGAAGGAAGGGCACACAATCCTTCCCTGCATCCGAGGTAAGGATAAGAAACATGATCACTGCACAGAAGACATCAAAAGATTGATCGTTTTGACTACAGACATACAAGATAATGCCGATATTTATCAGGACTACAGAATGAGTAGTACTAAAGTCCGCCAGTTGATGCTTGAGTAAAATCCAGAGTTTGGAGAACCGAAGCCAAATTGTGCCACGGAACTGTGTTCCTACGTGTCATTGTGTAACAAAAGGCGAACCGACATCATGTCCCGAGTCGAGTACACAAATGACTACAAAATCCATGAATCTGGTGTTTGTTTTGTATAACAGAGAATTGTTGTTGTCGCCTGACTCACATGAAGATTCTCCGGTGCCACATTGGAGTATTTGCTGAATCCGACTAGTGCTTGTGCGTAGCGTTTCAGTGGATGGAGACCTCGGGATAGACTGCATCACTGGGTGAATACTCTACCGAGTGAAGCGCATTCCCGAAGTCAATAGCGCTCTCGCATTTGTCCCAAGGTCTCCAACCCAGCCATTCTAGGAAACGTGTGCCACTCCTGTCGAATTGCCGTTACGAGTGACAATTACTAACACCGTTTTGGGAAAGTGAGTCAAGGTAATTAGATATACGGCACACCTCAGTGCATGTATCATAGTTGTCCACCGAGCTGACCGTGCAATCCAGACGACCTTACGTGGTGTCATCGTTTCCTGCATCACTCGGGATGCTGACGTCACAAATCGCAACAGATGGGTAATCCGAACTCGTGTGGCTGGATGAAAACAAACCAAGGTATCCGGGCCGAATGATCTCACTCCATCGCTGCCGAAAAAAGTTGGTGGATAGTCCAACCGCTCAGTTATGTTCCACATGGTTCACTAGAGAGGTACTGTCAAAGTAACAACTGTAAATAACCCCGAAAGTGTCGCAGCACATCATCTGAATAACATGGACGCATTAGCTTTATTGCTATGGCATAAAAGAGCTTTGGAGGAAGGTAACAATCCAGTTGATAGTAGTTGGGCTGTAAGAAACAACTTACGACGCCAATTCACCAAGTCAATCAGGCTTCTTTGCCATTGTTCGGTGTTAGTTCCCTTACCCACTGACCCATCTGATTTAAATGGTTCCAAAGTTACTTGGACGGTGGTATCGCGTGTCTCAATGGATCATAGAGGCTAGTAAACCATGCCACAATCTTAAGGACAGGACCTGTTGCGACAGAGATAACGAATACTCATTCTCAGTCAATTTAAAGCACAGGTAAACCGAAAAAGTACGATTCCAAGTGCGTTAATAGGGTTATGGGGTACCTATCTCTATAAATGCCTTGCAAAAGACGCGCGCTTCCATGAAAAGACCCGATTTTGGTTGCGAAGGCTGTTCAGTTGACTCTTGCAACTTCCATAGTCATTATTTACCAAACAGAGTGACTACGGTGGTCGTTTTTGTGTGTGATTGCAACTCTGGATCCCATTACTTCCTTGGACCTGTGGTGCTCACCGGAGAGGGAACTCCGTCAGTCATAAGTCTAGCGAGGCGGATGACAAGTGGGAAGCCCGCAGAATATTGTGACTCGGTGCCCCACAACAATCTTTGTGCGCACACAGGTGCCCACTTGACCAACTTTCGCAGGCGTACACCCCAAAACTGTGCATGCGGATTGGGCTGAGTGATAGCTCTCAATTGGGCGTAAGTCTTTTGACCAAAGTTAATAGATTAGACTGTATAACTACAGAATTGGTCCTCTCACCCAAGTTCTTATCTGGGCAGTAAGCCAACATCATGAAACTGCACACATCATATAATAAAGGAGAACAACACTAAGCAAGGGTAGCACCATGAACTCCGAACTTCCACATACCCAGAGAAGTCGGCGGCAGTAAACTGAACACAGCTAATGTAAACTTTCTTGATTCATTGCTGGCATTGACTCACTGGACGGACAACTTCGATGAGGACCCACCGCTAGATGTTACAGTAAATGCACCAAATTCTGGTACCATTGGTCGCAAAATTAAGACAGATGCAATCGAAGCTAAAACCATATCTCAGGGGTCCACTGAATGCGGCACAACACGTTTGCATAACACACAAATCAACTGGCATCAACAGGAATACAGAGACCATGGGGGTAGGTGGATCATTTAACTAGGATGTTCAGCAAACCGGAATAGATGCTTTAACTGCAGCGAAGCGATCAGATGAAGCCCCACCGTTAGAAATAGATAAAACTACCGTAGCTACTTTTCGAGTGAAATATGCTACGCGACTTCTAATCGAGTACCACAAATGCGGTCAGAAGTGGAGAAAGGATAAAATGAGGATTGAATGCAATACGGTAACAGGAAGAGATAGAGTGAGAGCTGACACAAACGGTCGCAAAATGGCGTCAACCATTTGGTGCCTAGCGAGAAAAAAGAGCATAAAACAAACAGTTTTTTCGACCTATGGAGTGGGGCACCATGGGATCAGATCCACTACGTCAATTTGGAAGGTGAGACTAGCAAAAGACGTTGGAGGTCCCCTTAAATTCACTCAGTGATCAAGAATGAACCCTCAGGAGAAATGTGTACACGAAGAAAACCATCGCTTAGCAGTGTCGAAGTGGCTACACGAAGATGAAGAAAGTAAAAGTAGGGGAACCATACACACATACATACACACAACGGCCAAGGTGAGAAGACTGATTATACTGGTAAGGGAGATACCCCATGGCAAAGTGGGGCGCAGATAAAGCAACCTCTAAGATAAGAGAGAGAAATCAGCACACGATGAGAATAGAATTAAAACTCTATTGCCGACACATAATTGTCCCATTCAACAGACAGCGAAACAGTCAAAAAGAATCGCATGAGACTTCGAAGTTGATAGCGGAAGCGGCGCGCATACCGTCTTCTCATAAAAGTGAGGCGACACGAACTAGGCTTTTGAAGCACTGGAGGATACATCTTGGGGTGTGTTCAGACAGATTTGGTCTAGTTCGTCGTATGTCAACACCTCCTTTTGAAGCAAGGTATCGATCAACCGCTGCAGTCTCGACTTGTTGGCCTGGAGTAGCTGAATGCAGCGTGCGAAAGCCGCCGAGACGAGTTGTTGAGCCTCCAATTCGATCAGGGCGTGAGTTCGTCGGCTGTATGGTTTCAATAGGTATTCATTTTCGGATGAGGCGTCCTGTGAGGCAATGGGAAAGGGAAGCGTAGGTATGTAATGCTAATTGGCTACTTGTAACGTCAAACAGCAGGGGGTCGAAGGGGCGTGTCAGTTATGGAAACGCCACTCATGTAAGTGGAAAACGTCAACAAGGCAACGACATTCCCTTCAAAGGGTGTCGGATACAAAGGGACTCTGAACTATGATAACATGCACACAGTTCACCGCGAATTAAACGCGAAGTTTGCAAGCAGGAAAATTACACACCTTGTAGGCAACAAAGAATACGTGGAAGTCGGAAATGGTTAAACAACTAAGCAATGCTTCAAAACAATACGCAGTTGTTGGGGTTGCCAATTCAAGTTGGGCTCATTGGAAAACTGGGTGTACCCAGCACAAAAGCGCTGACAATGCAGTATTTCACTGAGCGTACTGTGGAAAATGGTGGAGCGACAAAAGGAACATGAAGAGCGGAATGAAACGTGGAGACATAGTAATCCCACACGGAATAATCATAGGAGTGTAGAGTAAAAAGGTAGGAAGACCAAGCGTAAATTCGGTAGACGTGATCCAACCAAACCTCCATAAGTACAGACATTTTACTAAACCAAGCTGTGAGAAACCTCAAATGTAACTGGCCAAATGTCTGACAACCTATCTGAATCCTGTGCTTTATAAAACAGGATAGCTGGCTTATCCATAGACTATTAGTGGTGCCACTATGTGTGAATAGAGCTCATTGCTATGCGACAGTTAGATGTCAGATGAAAGTGGATGCGCTGATTCGTATTTCATCCAGCCTGGTTAAAAGAAGCAATGTTTGCTATCTCAAAACATTTGTGAAACCTTCAACAAACACGAACCCGTAAACTGCAACAATCGAGGGCGCTTAGTCTGTACACAGAATGGCCAGGTTAGCCACCAATGGTAAAGTTGGCAAGGCGATTGTGCGAAATTGTGCACAATGAATAAACGTCAATAAACAACGCGGATAAATTCCGCGTTTTCAAAAGTGCAAACTCACCTCAAAGCTCAAATTGCCCAGAGATTTCGACATACCCCATACACGAACCTGCTTGAGGGCCAAACTACTGGCCTGCCGTAAGTAGCGTTGTGATGCTGAAAACAAAGAAGATGAGTAATCGTAAATACCGCCAGAGGAGGGAAAACGGAGATACCAGACACCACCCTGTTATGAAAGCTACACTAAAACAGCGGGATATAGTAGCGAACCGGCAAGATAGAGGAAATAAATACAAATTCACTAAGAGAATGGCAAGGCTCACGACGATGACCAAATAACCAGCAGCTAAAAGTTATCAATGGACTCGGTCATGAAACTCTACCAGGATGCCCCGCGTATTGAACATTTATCATTCAATCTTAAGAGCATGCATGGAGTATAATCTAGGCGGCCATGCAGCACACTGGAGCATCTGCTTATGGCACTACCGGTGGTCATCGCACCAGTCATTGGACATCCGATGGGTCGATCGACTTGTTGGAACCCAGAAGATACCTCGATGTTGGCTCTGAGCACTAATGTAACCAGGCGGTATATTACGAGGGAAGAAAAGCGGAGCCTGAGTACTGGCGTAAGGAGGACTGGTGGATCAATCGGGCTCAAGAAATGGAGCAGACGGGAGCAGCAGGCCGTTATAGTAAATTCTTCCAACCGGTCCAATTTATTGGTCCCAGAAAATAAAGCGTCAGTGAGAAAAGCAGAGACCGCGCTGAAGCCATAAAACACAATAAAAAACGCCGTACGGCACATTGGGTGAAGCCCTTTCGGTAGCACTTCAGTTGGCCGCCAGCTTCCGGGCCTCGTCCTAAAGTAGGCCGAGCCAAGGACGACTAGCACAGAGGCACCAACGGAGGCTGAGGTATGAAACGGGATCACAGTCCTCAATAGTCACCGAGCTGATTGTTCAGATTCGCTAACACCCAGCCAAATGGGGATGATTGCGAAAACCTTTGCAAATACTGAGCCGCCTTTCAGAAGGCTTTCTGGCCTTTCTTACAGAGTCTCGTGATCAAACGCAACCATGATTTAGGTTAAAATAAGGTTTATTCAGTGCCACTGTTGCATCAGAGGTCACTGTAATCCTAGAAACGGTTTCAAGGATCATGAACGCTAAAAGCTCAGCAGCGGTTATCCAGTTCGAGTTGCGGGTTCGAGCCCTACCAGAGGTCCGATGGAATGCGCACTGCTGATGATTCCCGAAAGGATGAAACGCGCAAGCAGTGCTTTTCCGGGCGTGTGGCGGCTGTCTGAGTGAGTCTAGATGTGACGAATTTCTACCTATACCATCCAACTCCCCCTACTAATCTTCACTAATATATATATATATATATATATATATATATATATATGGCGGGAGAGCCTATGGTTCGCTGAGGCTAGTGGTGCCTAGATCCTGACAGATGCTCTACCCACTGCTGCTACTGTTGTGCCATTGGCTTATGTCCTGGACGCTTCCTCCTGCAGTGGCATAACAGAAGTGAGCAGACCAAATACAGTGAAATGATTTTTACCCAGATTAAAAAGATCAAGTTTAAGTGGACGTTGGTGCAGCCCAACTGGGCTGAGGAAACATCATGAATGCAATCATGAATGCCTCTAAATGTATTGGTATCCTCCGGAGCCCATATCGCTGTCGGGTCAGCGGGTCGCAAAATTAATACGGGCTTTCGTCGTGTGTAAACAGGGGGTGGTACTTGCTGATGATCGAAGGCAAGACAGGAGTCACGTATAACACGACAGTAACCAAGCGTGAGGACAATTCATCGAAGGCCAATGAGTGGTAAAAACCAATATTCGGTCAACAGCTTCCCTTGTTTCAAGTCGACAATAACATTATTGGACACAAAAAATCGGCCACCCAAGATTGTCCACTTCGCGTCGGGCGACACAACAAAGACGTAAACTAGCTTCTGTCCACCGATTCCAACGATGTGCTTTGCCATACCATTTATGCGTACTGAGTACCCGCCAACAGTCCTTACAATCATTGAGGACGATTGAGGATTTTCACCACGCCGACGGCTGATTATAAACACTATGGCACCCGCATCAATCAAATAGCGCTCCGTTATCCCGTAAAATTTCATCATCGCCCTTGTATTCAGTACTCTGAGCAAGTATCCATCGGCCCGAAAAAAGATAGAAATGGCGGCGCTCGAAATTCGTATGCGAGAGACCACACAGGAAAGAATGCACGGGCAGCCGCTGTCTCGAAGACGCAACCACTCCGGTCCCACATATGGGCCGCGAACAGACCATCATGAATCGTTACATTACGTCCTGACGGTCGCCCGGGCTGTCAAATCCGGCAGTCAACACCTTCGCCCTACCATTGAGAAGACTCCGCACGGCTGCTATCTTCCCCGACTATCTCTGTCATCTCGAAGTCCGCCAGGAAGCTCCGCACATCTTCAAACGACCCCGACCAGAGGACCCACAACATATCCTTGCTTGATTGTTCATAGCACCAATTGCAAGAAACCAAGAGGTGCGAACGCAGTTGCTTAGCGTGTCAATGAGAACTCGAGGTATGCAGTTTGTTAGATCACCAACACTTGTGAAGGTTTTCATGGAGATTGTGGGGCGTGCTGGTTGGGATTCCTGTCAAGTGCTGTCTCAATATCTCTTTTCAGAGCACAAGCACTCGCGTCCCCAAGCGTCCTCTTCGTGTTCGGACAGTAACTTGGTCCTTTATTGGCTCATTACCGTTCCCACTCTTATACTACTGACTGCTAACGCAGTAGCATCTACTCTTAGCTCGCCACAGTGAGACCCTACTCACACTTCGGTGAGTGGTGGGACACGTAAAGGGTTCGAACAGTTAAAGTCCAGAGTTATCGTGAAAGGTAGCCTCATCTGTAGAAAGGCCAAGCAATCGATCGCATGCACTTTGTGTACCATGGCTCTGAGAAGATGCTTTTCGAGACAGCCCAGTGATCATACTTTTCGATTTTTACTGTGGAGATCGAGGTAGATATGATGAACTGGACGATTGTCACTTGGGAAGTTGGATGCAAGGATTAGAACACTTCTAAAGGTCTCAATTACGGTTGGCAAACCACCGTAGCGCAGGGATATTTTACGTTCCTATGCTTCGCCTCTGCCATCATGATACTGCCTTGTCACGAGCCTGCGAGCCAACAGAACATTTGGGGATTACAAGGGGAAATAAATCGATAATACGAATATCCATTGTCCATCGCCAACGTGTCTGACAGTGGAGCAAACAGGTATTCAGAGACGGCGCACAGCAACCTAAAGGCTACTGTGTCACTGGGAATAATGGCTAACAAAGAAAGTACTACCGACTTAAAATTGTCTCAGTCTGTAGTAATTTGGTATACGGAAAAGGAATATGTCCAGGAAAAATGTTTACTGGCTCTCGTGTTGGAGATATTTCACAGAGGTCATTTTCAATGTTTCAGTGTATAGATTTAGCCAGTGGGACTGTAACAACATAGTACGTAAGTCTAGATTGATGCAATATTGCATCACAATGTACGCTACCACTATGCACAGACCACACAGAGTTTGCTGCATATTTTTCTGGTGCATGGCAGTACTACTGCCAGACTGCTGGTGAAGTACGCTGGCGTCAGTGGTATACTACGTAAGTTTCGTTGAGCACGCAAAATATGTTAAACTTTGTGAGATACAGTTTGCGCTACTGTTATATAAAATTTCATTAATTTTATGTAAGTTACAAGACAGAATGCTAATGCCTCGAAATTGCGTTAATCGCATGGACAATATTTGCTATGTTTGTGGAGAAGTGACATTTGCCAGCCAGAAGTATCACTACTCAAGAGAAGCAGGCGTGCAATCTTTACTACGAGTGGAAGTTTGGCGACCAGCGAAAACGTTGGGATCCGCATGTATGCTGCGCTACAAGTACAACACAACTTCAGTTGTGTTGGTGTTCCCAAAGTGTCGAGCAACCACATTAATGACTGTTACCTATATTTGGTTCATCCTCTTTCCGACGAGATAATGAAGCAAAAGAAGTCGAGTATATGCCAATACTTCGTCTGCACTGAGACCAGTGCCCCATGATGAGGGACTTCTAATTCCAGAACATACAGCGGAACATTCCGGATTGAGTTGATGAGGACAAGGGTAAGCTGACCTGCTCTTCTCCTCGTCCGTCAGCAAGCGATAATCTAGATTTTCACCACGGTGCATCATCAAACTCACACAGAGAACAATACAGGAAGAACTCAGTGACCTTGTTCGTGAGTTGGACTTACTTAAGAATAAGGCAGAATTTCAAAGCTCAAGACTCCGACAGTGGAATCGCCTACAAGATGTCATAATTACTCCATACCGACAGCGCAATCAGCAGTTGGAGATATTTTCAGTAAAGAAGGTAATCTGGCATTCCATCCGATAGTGAAAGTGTTATGGGCGCTTAGGAATAACTCATGACTCACAAGAATGAAGACCATTCGTGGACTCTTCCAAACTTAGACTTAAGGCAGTGCTGTTGCATAATACAAACCATCTTCCGTCTGCTACAGGAGTGCATGTTGCCCACATAAACAAGATGTATGATAAAGCAGTTGTTGAATCCCATTGCATTTAACAAGTACAGCTTGCATCCACCATTTTGGTGCAGCTGTGCACAAAATACTGTTGTTTCTTGTGCCAGTGGGATTTGTACTACTTGCGGTGGGAAAGGATTCATGGACAAACTAGCAGTTGGAGAGAAGAATAACCATAACCCAGCTCTGATCGCGTCTCACAAAATCCTGCTACTACATTTAAACATCTAACTAGGTCTGATGAACAGCATCGTGAAAGACAGCGTTCCGATACCTGAATAAAAATATCCTTTACTCAGCGAAGCGAAGATTAAAGAGGGGGCCTTGTGGTTTCTCAGATTTGACAGCAATTTATGGAACAGCACTTCAATAGGTTGGTGCAGAGTGATGTGAAACAAGCTTGAAATGCTCTTCCCCTAGTGTCTACTAACTCTCGAGAATATATATATATATATATATGTATATCTGGAAAATCATTATACACGTCACCTAGAAGTGGGAAACATCTCAGCTACTGTGACGCAATACCTAAAAGAAGAAAGAAAATAAAATGC